GTCAATGGACACCTGGGCAGAAACAATGACTTAAATTTTTTCTTAAATGTTTATTTATTATTGGGAAAGAGAGAGACAGAGTGTGAGTGAGGGAGGGACAGAGAGGGAGACACAGAATCTGAAGCAGGCTCTAGGCTCTGAGCTGTCTGCACAGAGCCCGATGTGGGGCCCGAACCCACAAACCATGAAATCATGACCCGAGCCAAAGTCAGATGCTTAACTGACTGTGCCACCCAGGAACTCCAGAAACAATGAGTTTTGAATTAAGATCACTGAAGCTCAGAAACAGTTAAAAAAACCAAGCAGAAAGTGGCTACCCAAGGACTTAGTAGTAGGCCTGACAACTTCCTTTATAGAAATATTCAAATATCAAAGAAGGTTTCAGATGATCCTTGCCTAGTGAGGTCCCAGGCTGTCTCTGTGGTGTGGCCCCTGTTATAGTTATAGGCCCATATAACAGGTGCCTGTGGAGGGCTTAAGGGGCCTTCACTAAGGGCCAGTACTGCCCATTTCCCCTGCTTTTTAATATAGTGCTTTCTTTTGTTAGACTGGGAATCACTGGTTTACTTGATATTTCAGCCAGGCTCTTCTTGCCAACTTCTAAATGCTAATTAAAAATTTTTTATTATAGGACATTTTAAGCATATAGAAAAAGAGAAGAATGAACCCCTAGGTACTCATCACCCAGCCTCAACAATGACTAGTTGTCATTGGCAACTCATTGCCAGTCTTGTATCATTCATACCCCAACCACTTACTGCCCCCCAGAGTTTTTGAAGCAAATTTCAGACATCGTATAATTTCACCTAGTCATATTTCAACATGAATGCTTTAATAGTAAGAACTATATTTTTAAAAAATACCATTTGAAATAGCATCAAGGAGAAGGACAACGCTATGTCATCTGGGACTGTGTTTCTCAAAAAGAGCAGATTATTTCCATCCTTTGAAAGAATTAATGTCATATGGATTGAAACCACAGGGCCAATTAAAAATATTGAAACAAACCAAAGGGAATTTTTAAATAGACCCTGGCTCCCTGAGCCAATACAATGCCTCTGCCCCAGTGAGCTAGGAAACCTTTTATACTCCCATATTATACCCCTTTTGAGGGGCACATGTCAGCCCCCCTTCCGGCTCCAAGTGCTACTTGGGCAGGTTTTAGCCAAGGATCCTCAATAGGGTCTGCCTGGTAGGCAGCTCCATGGGGGCCGGCTAAGCAGCTGAGCTGTGCACAGACCTGTGGCCAGCTTGCCAAGAGCGCCCCATGGGGAACTGCTCATTTAGGTGATAAGGGCCCCACGTAGGGCTAATGGCACTCAGCCAGTTAGCAGCCTGTAGCTCCCAGTAAAGCAGGTCTTCTTCCCTACTGGGATTAATGTTCATCTGCCTTGCTGGCATCTCTGCCTGATTTGTGTAATTTGCCCTCCTGCTCCAAGCCCTCCTCCCACCCACCCTCAATTATCTTTAGAGTGAACCAGGACCAAGATTTTTAAGACATTCTGTCAGCCTTAAGGGATTGTGCTGGAACTCTGGTGGATCTGGGGGCTTTGAGAGCTGCCTCTGATCACAGGTGAGGAATGTGTTGCTGGTACAGTGCATCCCTGATTAAATTTTTTCTCTTGGTTTCCTGCCTTCTGGCAGGAGGCAAATCCAACTCCAAAACTTCTTATCAATGTCTGAAATCCAATTATTTCTACCAGCTCTGGCAAGATGGGTGCTTTTACACATCCTTGTGGCCTCTTTGACAGGGATGATCCAAAAGTTACACTCACTTAGGGCTCATTCTAATCAAAGTGAAAAGGAAGGCAAAGGCCCAGGACTCAGACTGGTGGTCTTTGTACTTCTGTTTACACACAACATATTAGAAGCAACAGATTCATCATTTCTTCAGAGGAGTGTGGGCAATAGCAACTCTCAGTCAGGAGAGCCCAAGCCCAGCCCCACAGAGAAGGCTGCTCTAGTCTTAATGGTCTGTATGCCAGATAAGCAGGTGTCAGAGCCCTCTGCTAGCTTTCCTTCCTGTCTGCTCCCTCTGCCCTGCGATGGAGGACCAACTCTCATTTTTGAGCCTCTCCTTCCTTCTTTTCAACTTTACTTCTTTCCTTTCTCCTTATCTGGCCTGGGAGTGCTGACCCTCTGTGGACTGGAACTCAGTCCAGCTTGGAGCAGGCTCCAGGCTCTCATCACTGAAGAGAATGGCCCAGGGTTAGAGTATGACCATGAGTTGAACTTCTGACTCAATCCTTCTGGGTGCTCAGGAAATAAACACAGGACCAAAGGAAGTCAGGTTATCTGTATAAAGCATATAACAGAGAGGCTGGGAGAGTGTGGAAGAAAAGTAGAGGGCCTGGCATGTGAGGCAGGGTGTGCTGGGAATGCTGAGGGCTATAACCCCTTTACCTGCCCATCCCTAGAGTCTTCTTTTTTGCCCTCCTCCTGCTGTCAAGGCAGCTTTTCTCTGGACACCAAGAACCCTACAGGAACACTTTTATGCAGCAGCCTGGTTTTGCTTTTCTGGAGCCAATAGTAATAATAATAATAATAATAATAATAATAATAATAATAATAACTTCAATTAAGAGCTGGTTAACTTGAAGTTAATAATAATTAACTTCAATTAAAGAGCTGGTTAGCCCTATCCACTGGTTCTACGGGGGTACTGAGGCACAGAAACACAGAGGTTGGACCTTCTATATTAACTCAAGAGAATGAATGTGATAAATATCTCTTTGAGGATGAGCTTATGAAAGGGCTCTGCACTCAGCACAGAACTTGCTACTCCAGAAATTCACAGAAAAAACAGGGTTACTAGAATGAGTGCGAAATCCTCAAGAAGGTGGCCTACGGAGCCTTCCAGTCCTTCCCCCAAATCTGTTCATCTATGATACTCAAGCAGGTTTTGCATTTAATTCTTTCATCCATACTAAGCTTTAAACCTGCTTTTCTAAACACTACTGTAGTGTTTAGTGAAGAGGGGAACGATTAATGTTCCCATGTCCCACTGGTAGGCTCTGTCAGAACAAGACAACTCTCCACTGTGTACTCTGTGCCCACGGAAAGAAAAGAGAACTAATACACTAAAAGCACTTATGCACACTCACACCATGATCATGCCACTCCTGAGCTGGCAGGGCTTGCTGGGGATGTGGGTAGATGACAGTTCCAGGTGGGCTGGGTGCCAGAAAGGCAGGCTTGAAAGTATAGTGGTGTGGGGCTTTAAGTCCAGCCCTGGACCAGCAACAAGAGGAGGCTTTGGGCTAGCACTATGGATCAGTCACATGTGGCTGCCCGAATGCTGAGCATGGGCCCCTTTTCCAGGCTAGGTTATACAAGAGCTCCTGAGATTCTGGAAAGGTTCCTGCATGGGTGAATGGTTTTGACAAAGATGTTCCCTATGTTATATGAAACTAATGAATGTTTTCTGATTTATGGGCAAAAGCCATTAATGTTTAAATCTTTCTTTTTTATGATGAATAAATACATTAAAAAAACCCAATTTCCTAAATGGGTAAGGGGCATTAAGGAATCTACTCCTGAAATCATTGTTTCGCTATATGATAACTAATTTGGATGTAAATTTTAAAAAATAAAAAATAAAATTAAAAAGTAAAATAAAATAAAATAAAATAATTTTTTAAATGTTTATTTATGAGAAGGAGAGAGAGAGACACAGAGCATGAGAGGGGAAGGGGCAGAGAGAGAGGGAGACACAGAATCCGAAGCAAGCTCCAGGCTCTGAGCTGTCAGCACAGAGCCCAATGTGGGGCTTGAACTCACGAACTGTGAGATCATGACCTAAACTGAAGTTGGACGCTTAACCAACTGAACCACCCAGGCGCCCCTTAAATTCAGCCTTTAAAAAAATTATTTAATGCTTATTCATTTTTGAGAGACAGAGAGAGACAGAGTGCGAGCAGGGGAGGGGCAGAGAGAGAGGGAGACACAGAATCTAAACCAGACTCCAGGCTCCTAGCTGTCAGTACAGAGCCTGATGTGGGACATGAACCCATGAAATGTGAGATCATGACCTGAACCAAAGTCAGATGCTTAACCAACTGAGCCACCCAGGCACCCCAAATTCAGGTTTTTAAAGCAATGATCAAAGCTGAATAATGAGCAAACAGCATCAACAAGTCACACAACCCCAGCCTTTTCAGTGTATGGGCCACAACCAACTGTAGGTGGTCAGAGAGCCCCATAAGGAGCCCGCTGAGAGATAGGAGCAGGATGGCTGGGAAGCACCAAGGAGGCCTAAACCAATGCTGACATTGCCTGCCAATCCTACAGATTCAAGCCTGATGGGGAAGAATCCCAATGAGAGAAGTCTAGTCTGTGCTGTGATGAAGGGAAATCCAAGATAAGTACATGTATCAGTAAGAGGCAGGACAGGCCTCCTTTGACTAAGGTTAAAATCCGTTCATTTTTATAGCTCATATGTTCTATGGCAGATTAGAAAATCAACATTAATTCTCTATGTAATCTAATAAATGTAAGGGGAGGGGCAGAAGCCCCTGCTATAGGAGCATTGGCATTTATAGATGTGCAAGGGTGCTCTGTGGGGCTGTCTCATACCCTCAATCTGGAATTCGTTTCCAAACCACAGAATTAAACTGTTATATATTTTTTTCCCCAGAGAAAATCATGCTGCCTCCAAAGCTGATGCACATACATGGACATCCACCCACTTATCGCCCCCACACCACCCTCTGCAGCGTGCCTAGATGGCATGCATTATTGTAGAACCCAAAGAGCTGAACAGCTTGCCTAATGACACCTACCTTGCCTTTGTTGAAGTAGTGGATGATCTTGCGGCACAGTCCCTCTTTCCGCTGCCACTCTGTCTGGGATGGGTAGTGGAGGAATTCCCGAAGTGGCCGTTCTTCCCACTGCAGCAGCTCACAGTAGAGGAGCAGAGTGAATGCGGCCTCTGTGGGGAACAGGCAATATGGAGATCCAGAGACTTCTCCTCAGGGGTCCAGGGGGAGTCTGGTGCCAGGGGACTAGCCCAAGCACTCTGCTAGGATAGGGCATGTGCAGCCCAGGTCAGGGAAACTGGATACCAAAGGTTACATAGAGGGGCTGCCCAGCCAGCCAATAACCTTTGCCCATAGCATTGAGGAGTCAAAGATCCTGGTAGACAACTTCCTCTCATAGCCTAATTATCGATACTGGGCTCCAGATGAAATATGACCCAGCTACCTGAGAATTTGTGCACAAGTTACCTTGCTTTGGGAGACACAGACATGTCAGAGTCAATTCTTGGGTTCCTTTTTAGTCAATGTATTACAGCTTCCTTTCCAACCTTCTCAGAACTGGCTCTTGCAGGAGGGCACTGATAAAGTCTTCTCTCAGCCCTCCCTAAGCCAGCCCCAGTGCCTACAGCAACATTTTCTGACCTCAGCATGGCCTTCATCTCTACTGTTTCTACAAGGACCAGAGAGACGTGTAAATGGTGGTAAGTGTGTGATGGGCCTGTAGCCAGAAGCTCCATTCCTGGAGGAGCTCAAAGTTGATGCTGAACTCAGGGCAGAGGCCCAGTGACACTTTACCCTACATGTGGAACTGTTCAAGAAAGTTATATAAAACAAGAACAACTAAATACTGTGGCCCTAAATTCTAAGGCATGAGTCACACTTAATTACAGCCACTGATCAGGGTCCTCATTATACAGTCTGCTCTTTCCTGTTCTATTTGGTCATTTTTGGTGGGTATCTCCTAGTGGCAAGGTAATTAGCTCTAGCTTCTGTCTGGCCTTCAAGGCCCTACTCAAGTCCGCTACCAATAACTGTGAAGAATCTCATTTCTAACTATTCCGTGACCCACTTCCAGTTTTAGCCAAACACACCTGCCGGCAGCCACTCCCCAGGCTCTTCCTCATCCTTGCCTCTCTGCCTGTGCTCTGGTCACTGGACCTTCCTGCCCAGGGATGCACATGCCTCCTTACTGGATCCAGATGGGAAGTCTTTTATTTCTGGGGAACAAGCTCCTGAGGCACTCAAGGGCTCCCTTTGGAATTTAGGAAACCAGGTGAAATTTTTTTCTTTTCTGATCATATACTTTTCAGATGTTATTCCTGAGGCCGCCAGAGACAAGGCTTAGCACCCTCTCTCTCTGTCCAAATCCCTGACCCCACCTCTCAGGCATGGTCCAGACCTCTAGGAATTTAGTAAATGCCTCTATATTATATGGAGTTTATCAAAGTCTATTGTCTTCTCAGAGGCTTGCTGCAATCATGGGTGGAAGCAGACAGAGAGAACGGCAGATTCAGTCCAGTCATTTCAGATTTAATTCTTGTTAACTTATGTGGTCAGAAAAGGTGGCATCTATGCCAAACAATCCCTTACATCTAGAAATAAGGGAGGAGGGTTCTGTGTTTCTACAAACCCATCTAATTCTAGTAATGTTTGTGGATAAGAATAGCTTGAATTTCATGGTTTGTCACACAAATTCAAGTCCTATGGCTCAAGAGCTAGGATGTAGTGGCTAGTCACCACAGTGAAGAAGGTGGCTATTTTGGGGAAGCTATGGCACCAGGTGATCAGGCAGGAGACACATGCATGCACATACCCTCTTGACTGAGTGGTACTCAGTAAACAGTGTGATAGGCAGGCTGAAATGCTTTTAAATTTGTTCTATTAGAAAGGGCCTTAGTAATAAATTGTAGAAAGGGGACCTATATGGTCCGTCAGAAAGCCAGATGAACACTCTCAATACTTTCTATTGGAAAATCAAAGTGGGGCTGCTGTGCATTTTGCAGGGAAGAGCCTAGACTGCAAAGCAGTTCTGCTAGTAAGTTCAGAAGTTAGGCAGATATTTCAGTGTTATGGCCTCATGTAGCTCTGGCTGTGAAGGTTTTCAAGGTCAAGAAGGCTCTGCTTTTAGAGAGGGACAGTGAGCTCAGGATGCTCTGAACCTAGTGCATGAGAATTTGGAGGTTACCCTTGAGGCCTCAGAGGGGATGGACAGGAGGCAAGGAGAGAGCAGAACAGCCTCAGACAGCAGAGGACATGGCATGAAGGCACAAGTGGAATTTATGCCTGCTTTCTTTCTGCCATATGTGACAAAGGATTTGAAGGAAAGAATGAAGTGAGGGGGCAACATAGGCCCCAACACTCCGCTAAGATCTGGCAGGCACCAGTTCAGAGCCTTTCTCTGCTAGCTGTGCACACCTGTCCAGTCTTTCCTCACAGGGAGACATGGTTGGGTCCCCCTTCTACTCACCTGTGTAGTTTTCAGCCTGCAAATGCATGTCACAAAGCTTATGGATATAGCGGATATACATCTCTTCTTTGTTAATCTCAGATTTGTAAAAGTTCTGTGAGAGAGAAAAGGAAATACGCATAAAGATGAGAGAGGTTTCCACCTGTGGAGGCCATACCTGAGCTCCAGGCAGCTGGCCAAAGCCCTGGGTGTACTGGACAGGAGGAGGGCAGGCCATGGACACAGACAGCACCAGCAAGAGAAAGGATCAGCCAGAAGGCACAACTGCTCCCCAGGTATGGTGGAATGAATGGCAGATCTGCGGGAATCCAAATATTGAGAAAGAGGAGGAGTGCCAAGGCAGACTGGGAATTAGGGTATTTCATGGTTGACTGGACCTTGTTAAGAGGCCAAGGATAGAGTTCTGTCCAAGGAGAACATTCTTTTCTCAAGTGAAAATGTGACTGATGAGGTGCAGGTCTCTGAGATATTAGGGACAGAGCTGATATCCTGACTCAAGTCCTTAGGCTTGCAGCCACAGTAGAAGGGCCAAGCCTGTCACAGTGCAGGCCAGAAGCTATTCTGCTGGGCAGATAGGAGGAGGGGCCCATGTCTTCTCACCATCAGGTTAACAGTGCAGCCAATCTTCTTATTCTCTGTTTCCTCTCCTTTCATGCAGTCCCTGGAAAGGAGAGCACAGATGAATGTCCCATGGCATGAAGTGGTGGCTCTGGAACAATGCATAGAACTGCAGTGTCACAGAGGCATTAGTATAACTAAACCCTAAATTAAGATGCTCTCCAACAGAAAATGCTTCCACAGGTGGGGGCTATACAGTGAGCTCCCTCTGAGGTTTGGACCCACTCCTAGGGTTCAGAGATCTCTGTTCAACTGAACCTCTCATTCTGGTGGCAGAGTGTAGAGCCCAGATGGTACATTAGGGTAGTACCAATATCCTCAGCACAGAAGAATGTATCAGTAAAGATAAATGTCAAATCCTCAAGTCCCCAGAAGGAGAGGCACAGAGCTTTTCTTACAGGGAAAGTTTCATTTTGTAGGACAGCATTCAACAGAAGCCAATATGCTCCACTCCAGAGACCTAGCTTCAAGACCCTGTGGTTACAGCAACCGTGGCATGGCCACCATGTTAACCATCTTACTGGCTTTTCTCCCTATGGTTTCCTTCCTGTGTACTAAGTAGAAGCAGCAGGTTTAAAGTTTCTTTCTGATTTAGGGGTAGCTTCACCCAGGGCTGAGTTACATTCATGCTGATCAGAGCAGGGTTGGGTGTAAGAGGGGCCAAGGCTGGTCTGTGAGACACAGAACAACAGGAACACTGAGAATGGATCCTTCCCTAGGGAGAGAGGAGGACTGGTCAAAACCAAGCTCCTCTGCAAGTAGCAGAGTCTTGGCACAAGGAGACAAAGGAGAAGGAGAACCAGAATGGTGAATCTCGCCAGAAGCCTCCTCTACACACAGCCAGCCAGAGTTCCATCTGTTTGCTGTGTCTCCTTCTATGGCACTCTACAGTGCTCTGGCATATAGATATAGTTCCTTGTGTAGCTGTGTGTTAGGGAAAGGCAGCATAAGTGGGTTTATGGACCACTAAGATCAGGTGGAGAGAGTATCTTGACTTTGCTCTACTAACAGGCATGGGGCCCAGTGAGAAACATCACAGTTGGGAGTCAGGAGCCTTAGTCCAAGTCACTGAACCTCTGGGTGATAATGTGACAAAGTTAGTTATCCCCGCCTTCCCAGCTGCAATCCAGCTCACAAAGGGATAACTTCTTTGAAAGAAAGGAATACTGAAAAATCCACACAACTCTCATGATATTCTGCAAAGCCAAGTGTCCTCCCTTCTATGGAGGGCTACTATCAGAAGTGGCAGCTCTGTGGGATTTGAAACCAAGGTCGTCCTCCTTTTTTGGTTCCCTAACTGCCATATGGCATTTGGTTCCTCTGTAGTCAGACATGGGGGTCCTTAACAGGCTACTGCAGAACCTTTTAGTGCCAGTAGGGACAGGAAAGTGCTGTGACTTTTTAAGAGGTGGACCAGATGGCCAACTAGTTAGTTACAAGCAACATAGAAAGTGGCAGGAAGCATCTGTCTCTCCAATAAGTTGGCCGATAGAGAGTAGTGAGGTCTCAACTAGCTACTTTGGCATTTAGTGTTTTTTTTTTTTTTGTTTTTTGTTTTTGTTTTGTTTTTTCTAGAAAGCATCTGAAACACTTACCAGGCATCACCTTCTTTTTGGCTATAACTAGAACTTCATTGCCAAGTCAATTAAACAGGAAAGTATTGTCCTCAACCCTGTGATGGCAGGGCCATTCCCTACACCTTTGTGCTCTATGACCACCTCTCCCATGCACTGCTAACAGCTGCCTCTTCTCTTCTGTGTGGCTGTGCATCACTTCTGTGTGGCTACTCAACATAGAGGACACCTTTTAAAGCCTCTGACTTGGGTGCAGCCATTGCTCTCCCCTGTTCTTTCTCTGGAGGACGAACAGGGAAGACCCTCCTAAAGAGGCTTCTGAAGCAACCGGTTGTGAGCACTGGGCTTGTGGTGACCTAGACCAGGGCCCAGGCAGCCCTTAGTGCAACTGGAGAGGCCTGAGAAAGGAAGGCTCCATAACCTCCAGTTCCTCTTCCAGGTGGAGGTTCCACTTAAAGTCCCAAGGGCTTGGCAACCCTAGCCCTGTCCCTGTATGTTCCAGGGCACTAAGAACCACTCCCCCTACCCCACGGAGATCTGCTTCCTAACCTGAGAAATACAGTTGCCACCAGTGAGCATCTTTATATCTGACACAGAGTATCATTCACACAAAAGTTGAAGAGGTACTCCTCTGAGTACTTAAGGTTCATGCTAGTCTAAAACAGAGTCTCACACTCTAGGTTCAGATCATTCTGGAGTATAACCTATTAATTATTTGCCTAATCAATGTATCTGTCAACTATTTTCTTAGTAGGTTCTTATTGCACTAAACTGCACTGGGGCAAAAGAGACTACTTTGGTTCCTGCACGGTCTTCCAATTGGTCAATATATACTGTACACTTGTCAGAGGACCATCAAGGCTCCATGCAGGGGACCAGGGAGATAAGGACAAGGTCCCTGTCCTCAAGAGGCTTCTCTCTTCAATTGAATGAGTCAGAAAGGTGACAAATGATCATCATGCAAGGTGACTGATGCTTTGAAAGAAGTGTATACAGATCCAGGTAAGCTTTTATCTGGCAAAACTTCCTTGATGGGGCTTGGTAGGAAGGCCACTCTTGGGAGGACATTGCATGTAGAGAAGCCTGAAGAGAAGGGATGTGAGTGGTGACAATATGGATGAAAGAATAGGGCATGGCTCTTGAGTCAGATGTGGGTTCAAATCCCAGCAATGGCATTTCCTATCACTGGTGTTTGTTCACTGATAAAAACAGGGATAACCCTTCACAGCTCCTTATGGGATTAGAGATAATGCTTGTCAAGCACAAAGCACATAGTGTATTTTTAACAGTTAAGAGCCATGGTAAACATTGTGGTGTTTCCTTTTGTGTTAACAGGGAGCAACACTAGGAGGTTAGTATGTGCACATGGGTGCTGGGACTGTCAAGGAACATGGCTGGAGGAGTAGGCAAAGGCCAGTTTATGAAGGGGCTTTGCTGCCATGTGAAAGAGCATGAATTTTGTTTTTTAATGAACCCATTATTGAGACAAGAAATGGAAGAGAATGAAATTGGGTTTGGCCATGAGTTTGAGTTGTTTGTACAAGGTAGATACAAAAATCAAACAGGAAGCTAGAACTAGGCTAAGAAATTAATTTAGGCTCTTTCTGGTAGGCCATAGTGAATAGAGCTTAACCTTTAGTAAATGTTTTAGGGAGGGGGAGGTATAGAGTTTTGTGCATCCCTCTTCCCTGTCTGATAGCAGGTACAGAAAAGGCTGGGGATATGGCATGAACAAAGGAGTCCACTGTTCTAAAAGGCATCCCCAAAAGGCCACTTGTCAACTTTTAAGGTCCAGGAAAAATGGGCTGAAACTTGCACAAGCACAACTGTGCTACAGGAAGAGGGGATGCCTAAGATGGGAACCCATTTCTCAGGAATTCCATTTCCATGTCCAGATAGTACACTGGACACCTGAGTCTTCTGCAAAGCAGAAGTCTTGCCATAGGAGTACCTTCTATTCAGCAGCAACTGGAGGTGGCCTAAACCCCCTCATTTCCTGATGCATGGGTTGGAAGTGCTCTCCCTTGGCGTTTACATGTCTTGTAGCACAGAGGAGACAACTATTGCTTGGGGATGGATTTCCTCCGTCATTCTTCCTCATTCCCTATCACCTCCCTCTAGGCTCCTAAAAGGTACCCTTAGCCACCACATGAACTCTGCTAAGAGAATAATGAAGCCTGCAATGGTGGCTTCATTGCCCCATCTGGAGTAATTCAAAAGCCGTGATATGACAGAAAGCAAGATTTCATGAAAAAACTAATTTTACATGAACTCTCAAACTGAACATAGCATAAAGATCTCTGAGCTCACAGGCTGCTTCCTCTAATCTGTTCATGGTCAGGCAGGACCAAGGGACAGAAAAAAACACTTTAGGCAAAGAATGGAGGCATGGAAAAGTAGGATCCCCAGTGCCTGGAAAAACCAACTGGAAGTCCTGCTGTGTCACACTTCTGTACCGGGTGATATTTCCCCGCCCATCTGTCATATGGCTCTCAGGAACACAGCACAAAGGACCTACAGTTGTTCGCTGCATTGCTCTGAGCTGTGACCTTTCTGGATGGAAACCTGCATGTCCCTGGGATGCCTCCTGGATATATGTGCTCACATATCAGGGGGGATCCTAGGAAGCCCTGGCCTACCCCTGGGAGAGGACTCTTTCCCTCTCTTTGGCCATCAGTAGATTCCCAATGACTGATGATGGCACCCAAACCAGAAGAGTCCTCCCCCTGAAGGCCACATGGTTTCAATTTTAAGGTCAGAGGATGTCCTTGCTGAGGCAAGTATCCTGATCAGACAAGAGGTCAGATAGGTAGGTGCCTGAGAAGATACCTGTAGTCAAGAAGGCGTTCCATGAGGCGGGTGACTGAGGTCACAAAGGAAATGCCGGTTTCACGCCATGTTTCCTGTTCAACCTTCTCCAGTAGGCTATTAGTTGGAGGGTGGGGGGAAACAAACACAGTATACAATTTATGAGCCTTCTTTGGGCACAAAAGTGAGGTCCCAGAGCCCATGGAGCCTGTGATGGATCTGGAGACAGAAGACTTACCACACTACAGTCTTACCTGGGGTAGGGCCCAAACAGCTGGGTTCTACTCCATGCAGCAGAAAGCAAAGACAAGGTGATTACTGAACTGGCAGGAACAGATGAGCATATTTTCCATTTTCCTGTATAAGTTCCTAAGGATGCCAATGAACTGAGGAAGGGGTTTTAAAGCCCCAGCCCTTTAGGTGTATGCTGTGAGGTTTGTTCTAAAACAGCAGCTGAATAAGAGCCCACTGAGGATGGATCTGGCTTTGCAGTTGGCCAACTACCTCCATCACCACTCAGAGGCATCCTCAGCAAACATACAAACTCAACTTTTCATGTAAACCAAGGAAAAGGTTCCGACTAGTCTTGAGGGCCCAGTATGAAGGGCAGTGAGTGAAACTAGGAGTTATACCTGGTCATCTCCACTGTCAGGGGATGTTTCCAAGTGAAAATTGCCAGAGCCAAGAGCTAAATGCCCAAGTCCTTTTCTCATTTGCCAGCCCATGCTCCTGGCACTTCAGGGTAGCCTCTGGCTTCTCTGCCTTCCCACAGATCTCTCCTAGGGGATGATGACCTAGACTCTCTGCTTGCTCTAGTGATGAGCCCAGGTCCAGGTCTCATTCCTGATTCCTTTCTACACTGTCCCTCACTCCCTAAAAGTCATGAAAGTCACCTGGAGTGGCAGGCCCAGCTAAAGGCCCAGCACTGGGCACTCCCACTCACAACCTGGCTGCTGTTAATGCTGCCATGACGGCGACAGTCTTCCCCACACAGAGTATATGGCCTGAGCTGAGGCTTCTGGGAAAGTGAGGGTTTCCCATGTGACTTATATTACTAGAGAGAGAAGGCACACCATTGCTCTGGCCTCTGAGCTGTGTGGATGAAGCCACTGTGTCAGTATTTCCCAAACTATTCTCCAGAGCTCTGCTGTCCTGGAGGACCAAGAAAGGTGTTCTGCGAGCAAACAAGCCTGGGAAATGCTGGTCACTACACACTCCTGTCAGAGATATTTCACATATTTCTGCCTATTAAAGGCTTTGCTAAGTCCTGTAATAGAGGTCTGCTCAATTTTGTTTAATTGAATCTTTTCTGAACTGACCACTTACTTTTTTCCCCCAGCAACTTCCCCAAAACACAAATTGGGAAATGCTGCTTTATGGTTCTCGGAAGTTTTCAGTCCTCAAACATGATTTAGAAGAGTTTATGAAACACTATTTGGTCAGGTAATTAGTAAGTGCAAGTTATTTGTGTGCTTTTTCCTTTGTAGTAAAATCATCTGTTAGTGACTTAGGAAGAGATTTCTCTGCATTATTTCCACAGTTAGAAACATCTTTAGCTAAAAGAAAAATACTAAGGTATAGATTCATTTACACAAATTATAATTATTTAAATTTCAAATAAATTCACATTTTGTGTGACTCATTAAGGAACAAAGTGGGTAGGATATAGCAGAAAGATTCCCCCTTCTTGAAATTGGAAGATCTGAGTCCTCCCCCCAGAGTGGCTTTTCACAGGTCATTCAACCGAGGGCATGCTAACACTTTCCTCATCTCAGTTTCACCACCTTTATTCATGAAGATAATTTCTGCCCTGCTCACTTCACAGGTGTGTTGTGAGGATTAAGTAAGAAACGTCAACACATTTGTACACTGTAAAGTTCTAAGCAAATGTACAGTATTATTATTGGAAAAATATGTCATAGGCTTGTCTTCAAAATGGCATGAAAACAAAGAAAATATTAAAGCTGGAAATAATGAGTGAGATGGGAGGGGACTCTAGAGCTATAAAAGTCTAAAGATTTTGTTTTTTTGGAAGATAAAATGTCCAGCATCACTATCTATCTGGGAGAATCATGGCTCTCCCGAGTCCCTCCTTTGGACTTAGCCCTGTGGCAAAGACTCTTGGCCTCCAACATTTCAAGACAGGAGCTATGAGGGGCGCCTGGGTGGCTCAGTCGGTTAAGCGTCCGACTTTGGCTCAGGTTGATCTCGTGGTCCATGAGTTTGAGCCCCGCATGGGGCTCTGTGCTGACAGCTCAGAGCCTGGAGCCTGTTTCAGATTCTGTGTCTCCCTCTCTCTGACCCTCCCCTGTTCATGCTCTGTCTCTCTGTGTCTCAAAAATAAATAAATGTTTAAAAAAAAAAAAGACAGGAGCTATGAATGTGGACCTGGGAAAATCCCTGACATCACTCAGTACAAACACCCTGTTTCACAAACAGGGAAACTGTCCTGGAGAGTGGGCACAATTTGTTAAAGTCACAAGATCCATGGTAATGTTTTTTCAAAGTTGATTGTACCATCTTATGAAGCAAGGATTTAACTGTTTACCTCTCAGAAATGCCAGCACTGAGCCCTCAGAGAGTCCCCATGGGCTGTGTGCCCAACTGGATACAGTGCATGCTATGAAGACGTATAAAGACCCTTTTCCTATCAGCAAATCTAAGAGCTCAGAGTTACCGCCTGTCTCTACCTCTTTAGTCAACTATGGCAATCCCTGAGAGCTTGCTGCCATAATGCCACCGTCCTATTGACTAGGAACAATCTAGGTCACTCCTGATACTCACCCTCTGAAGCCCAGCCAGCGTGGGTTGCACCCCTACCCCTCATCAGCCCATTTCACCCCCTCCCCCAGTGTGGGGTGCTTGGGGCTAAAGCAGCTTACAGCAGGCCGAAGAGCTCTCTGTAACTCTCGTCGCCTTTCCCTTCTGACACCATGCTGTCCAGCTTGTCAATCAGCTCAGCCTCCACCTAGAGGGAAGCAGAGACTTCATGAACCCAAGCTGACCTCAGAGGAAGATTGGGAAATCTAGCTCCTACCACAGGTGAGAATGGCTGGGAACTGCTTCCTGATTTTGTCCTTGTACCAAATAAATCCGAGGGAAGGCAGGACCTCATCTACAGCACCAAGAAACCACTCTGCCCCCTTGATTAGGAAGGCTCCCCACTCCAGTGGTTTAAAGTTGGAACTTACATACCTCAGATACTCTTTTCCCAGTCTAGGGTCAAAAGGCAAGGATTCCATGTAAAGAAAAGTATTTTGGATACAAAAGAGGTCTTTGTCAAGTGTTTCTCTTTCTTAAAAAAATGTACACTCAAAAGAATTTGTGTGAGTAAAATACATTTGGTTAGAACTTTACCCTCTAGTCAGCCAGTCACAAAGGAAGCTTGCAGCAGGGCTAGCCCTTACTCGAATGGCTGACATGATTCTGAGTTGAGCAAGGTATGAGTGTTTCCTTCAGAGATTCTACTTCAGGATAAAAAGCTCCACTGTTTGTCCCCATAGGACCTAGAGACCTTGGGGCTGCTGCCTCGCCACTGCCTCATCACTGGGGCACCTGCAATAGTTACTGAATTCTTAAACCGTGAGGAGCAATACTGTACTTTTTCCTACTCAACTGATCTGCAAGGTGTTCAGCAGTGCTCAGCCACTTCCAATAAGCCTCACTGGATTTACTCTGAGGTGAGAAATTAGTCATAAGTGATGTGAGATAAAAGTCTTTTAAACCCTTCATTAGCCTTTAAAATGTGGTACTGGGAGCGCCTGGGTGGCTCAGTTGGTTGAGTGTCTGATGTCGGCTCAGGTCATGATCCCACTGCTCGTGAGTTTGAGCCCCGCATCAGGCTCTGCTGACAGCTCAGAGCCTGGAGCCTGCTTTGGATTCTGTGTCTCCTTCTCTCTGTCCCTACTCTGCTCCCACTGTCTCTCTGTCTTTCTCAAAATTAATAAACATTAAAAATAAAAAAAATTAAACATTTTTAATGTAGTATTGTGACACCTCACACCACTCAAGAGTGGCTAAAATTAACAACTCAGGAAACAACAGATGTTGATGAGGATGTGGAAAAAGGGGAACCCTGTTGCACTGTTGGTGGGAATGCAAACTGGTGCAGCCACTCTGGAAAACAGTGTGGAGGTTCCTCAAAAAGTTGAAAACAGAATTACACTATGACCCAGCAAGAACACTACTGGGAATTTATCCAAAGGAAACAGCGTGCTGATTCATAGGGGTACATGCACCTTAATATTCATAGCAGTGCTATCAACAATAGCCAAATTATGGAAAGAGTCCAAATGTCCATCAACTGATGAATGGATAAAGAAAATGTGGTTTATATATACAATGGAATACTACTAAGTGATGAAAAAGAATGAAATCTTGCCATTTGCAACAACAAGGATGGAACTGGAGGGTATTATGCTAAGTGAAATAAGAGAAACTCAGTCAGAGAAAGACAGATATATGTTTTCACTCATATGTGGAATTTGAGAAACTTAACTGAAGACCATGGAGGAGGGGAAGGAAAAAAAAATAGTTACAAACAGAGAGGGAGGGAGGCAAACCATAAGAGACTCTTAAATACAGAGAACAAACTGAGGGGTTGATGGGGGTAGGGGAAATGAGTGATGGGCATTGAGGAGGGCACTTGGGATGAGCACTGGATGTTGTATGTAAGTGATGAATCATGGAAATCTACTCCCGAATCCAAGAGAACACTGTATACACTGTATGTTAGCTAGTTTGACAATAAATCATATTAAAAAAATAAATGTGGTATTTTGGTATTATTTATATAAATACTTCATATAAACAAAGAGGCATGGCTGCTTTCAATAATGAGCTATAACAGAAGCATTTTCTCACTTCACATAGGGCCAAAGAGTCCTAAAGCAATGAAGTTATAAAAAAATAATTGAACTAGAAAATTCATTGAAGGCAATTATGGTTTCTGAACCCCTTCAGCAGGAAATGAGAATGGATGAATAAATGTGGCTCTGTTTATAGTGGTCTGCTCTGCAGAGACTGTCACACATTCACGTATGGCCTGATGAGTCAGCTGCTTGAATACGCATTTCAGAGAAAGAAAATATGAGACCAGGGGTCCTTAGGGATTGATGCCATGTCTTTCTCTGTGTGGAGAAGAGACTTCAGCAGGGACTTGCCTGGGTCATGTAAAGTCAGATAGAGCCAGGACCAGAGGCCAAGGGATCTTATTCTCAGTTCAAATCTTGTCTCTTCTTACTGGGTCAATCAGTGGCCCACAAGCCTCCCAGGGGAAGAAGGGTCTGTTTATAATAAGGGATCTCTCTTCAAACATGCAGGTATAGGTAGATTGTGTTTTCCAGGACATGGCAAATAGGGGAAAGGGACCTGGAGCAGCAGGGGGTATGACTGTGTAAACATGGGTGCAGTAGTTCCCTTGAATTCTCAAAATGGGCCCCTGGGCTAGCAGTATCAGTCATTAGATATCATTAGAAATGAAGATTCTCAGGCTCCCAGTGGATCAGAAACTTGGGAAAAGGAGAAGCAATCTGTTTCAATAAGCCCTCCCAGTTGTGATGCCTATTCAAGTGTTAGAACTTCTGTATTAGGCAGAGGAGTTGGTGATGGGAAGATATGGGGATATTACTTCATCACCCTCTATAGTGCTGATAAAGGGAGAAGTTATTAGGAGAAACTGAGAAATCCAAAACAGGTAATGCTGTAGATCAATGTATGCAAAACCAATGTCTTTAAGTCAAATAAAATGCTAAGTTCTTCAAATATATCGTGTCATGGGGTACCTGGGTGGCTCAGGAAGTTAAGTGTCCGACTTTGGCTCAGGTCATGATCTCAAGGTTCATAGGTTTGAGCCCTATGTCGGGCTCTGAGCTGACAGCTCGGAGCCTGGAGCCTGCTTTGGATTCTGTGTCTCTCTCTCTCTCTCTCTGCCCCTTCCCCACTCACACTGTTTCTCTCTCTCTCTCAAAAATAAACATTAAAAAAAAATATATATATATATATCATGTCATAGTTGGTAATATTGACAATTTTGTGTTTTCAGAATTACTTTTATTCTATGGAATCAATATTCCTGAAGTGACAAGTGACATCTTATTATACATTCAACAAATATTTGTCCTGTGACAACCAGCTGCCTACTTCAGGGCAAGATATTTACTTCTCTAAGCCTACATTTCCTTGTTTGTGAAGCAGTAATGGTGGTTAACAGTCTTCTTTGGTGTCCCTGTGCTCTAGCTCTTAGAAGTGCTCAATAAATGTTAACTTTGATTTTCATCTCCATGAATCTAACATGTCTCAGGGACTCTGGTGGGTTCTAAGGAAAAATGCACAAGAAACGGCCCTGGTGCCCAATACCTAGCTCATCATCTGGTAGAGGAGGCAGGGACAACAGCTAACACAGGCCAGCATGGCCAGTGCTTGGTGTGGGGCACACAGAAAGGGTAGCCTGCAGTCTGAGACGTCAAAGGACAGCAGAGTTGTGAGAAGTGGGGTTGTAAGAATGTAATTAAGCTCTAACTTATAAAGGGAGACCTATAAGACTAGTCACAGACCTATCTACTGAAACTTGGCAGGCCAGAAAGGAATGGCAGGAAATCTTCAATGTGATAAATAGAAAAAATATGTGGCTGAGAATCCTTTATCCAGCAAGTCTGTCATTTAGAATAGAAGGAGAAATAAAGGTCTTCCCAAACAAACAAACACTGAAGGATTTCGTCATCACTAAACCAGCCCTATGAGAGATCCTAAGGGGGATTCTGTGAATGAAATGTTCCAAGGACCACAAAATACCAGAGACATCACCACAAGCATGAAACCTACAGACATCACAATGACTCTAAACCCATATCTTTCTATAATAACACTGAATGCAAATGGACTAAATGCTCCAACCAAAAGACATAGGGTATCAGAATGGATAGAAAAAGAAGACCCATCTATTTGCTGTCTATAAGAGACTCATTTTAGACCTGAGGACACCTTTAGATTGAAAGTGAGGAGATGGAGAACTATCTATCATGCTACTGGAAGGAAAGCTGAAGTAATATGCCCATATCAGAACCAAACTAGACTTTAAATTAAAGGCTGTAACAAGAGATGAAGAAGGGCATTATATAATAGTGCAGGGTCTGGCAGGAAGAGCTAACAATTATAAATGTCTATGTGCCGAATATGGGAGCCCCCAAATATATAAAACAATCCCAAACATAAGCAACCTTATTGATAAGAATCTGGTAACTGCAGGGGACTTTAATACTCCACCTACAACAATGGATAGATCATCTAGACACAGGATCAATAAAGAAACAAATAAAGAAACAATGATACACTGGATCAGATGGACTTGACAGATATATTTAGAACTCTGCATCCCAAAGCAACAGAATATACTTTCTTCTCCAGTGCACATGCAACATTCTCCAAGATAGATCACATACTAGGTCACAAATCAGCCCTTCATAAGTATACAAGAATTGAGATCATACCATGCATACTTTCAGACCACAATGCTATGAAGCTTGAAATCAACCACAGGAAAAGTCTGGAAAACCTCCAAAAGCATAGAGGTTAAAGAACACCCTACTAAAGAATGAATGGGTCAACCAGGCAATTAGAGAAGAAATTAAAAAATATATGGAAACAAATGAAAATGAAAATACAACAATCGAAATGCTTTGGGATGCAGCAAAGGCAGTCCTGAGAGGAAAATACATTGCAATCCAGGCCTACCTCAAGAAACAAGAAAAATCCCAAATACAAAATCTAACAGCACACCTAAAGGAAATAGAAGCAGAACAGCACAAACCCAGCAGAAGAAGACACCCCAAACCCAGCAGAAGAAGAGAAATAATAAAGGTCA